TATTATTATTATTATTATTATTATTTTTGTAAGATATTTTTGGGTTTATCTTATTTTATTATTATTTTTTTTAAATTATCTGTTCTGATTTTTTTTCTGATTATCAGATATTTTTTTTTTATAATATCTTTTTATTTATCTGTTCTAATTATCTATTATTTTTTTTATATTTATTTGATTTTTTTGGAAGGTTGAGATTGAAGCTGAAGAATCCTACTGGGAGTGGGGATTCAATCTAAAGAGTCCAATTGGATTCAAAGACTGAATCCCCGTCCAAGGAGGAGTTGGGATTGATCAGAAACTCCTGATCAATCCCTATATAAAGCACCTCCTGGAACAGTTCAAGAACACACAGAAAAAAACAGTGAGCAAAGCTACTGAATTTGAGAGAAAAAAAGTGTTTAAAAGAGTTTTCGAAGGCTAAAGAAGGTCGAGAAGTGTTAGGATAGCTGTAGGGATCTGAAAAAAATTTTTTAGAAATTTTTTTGCGAAAATTTTTTCTGGAAATTTCTGGGAAATTTCCAGATTCCGGCGAAAATTCCGGCGACATTTGAATTTTCCGGCACAAATTCCGGCGAAAACTTGAAGATTCCGGTGACCAACCCAGTTTCCAGCGAGATTCCCAGAAACCGGCGAAGATTCCGGCCATATTCCGGCAAAAATTCCAGATTCCGGCGACATTTCCAGAATCCGGCACCGGTGTTCTTCGGTTTTCTAGAGAGAAGGGAGAGAAAAGGGAAGGAAGAGAGAGAGAGGGGAGGAGCGTTCTGCCGAAAAACAGAGGAGAGTGCCTTAAATACCCTCCAAAAACGACGTCGTTTTGGCCTTAAGTAACCAGAGGATCCGCGCGTTTTGCCGTGACCCGACCCGACCCGAGCGTCGACCCGCCTCTGACCCGCGCGTGCCAGCCTCCCTCCGAGCCAAGCCGAGCCGAGCCGAGCTTCCAAGCCGCTCCTCCGAGCCGTTTTTTTTCTTCCTTGAGCCGAGCCGAGCCGAGCCGATAGCCGAGCCGCTCCAGGTTTTTTTTTTTTTTTTTTTTTTTTTTTTTTTTTCGAATTTTTTTTTTTTTTTTTATTTTGATCTTGATTTTTTTTTTCTTTTTTCTTTAATTAATCCGACGACGGAGCCTCTACAAGTAAAAACAGTAGTTTTTCTTGCATACTCCTGAGGTGAGGGAATTTTCTCAATTTTCTGCTAAAAGTATTAGAGTCAATTGAGAATAATTTTCGATAATTAATTAATTGGTTGATCTTGATTTTTCTTTAAATAATCCGACGACGGAGCCTCTGCAAGTGAAACAGTAGTTTTTCTTGCATACTCTTGAGGTGAGAGAATTTTCTCAATTTTCTGCTAAAAGTATTAGAGTCAATTGAGAATAATTTTCAACAACTAACTACTTGGTAAAATTTTAAGGCTTTTGGATAACACAAATTCAAGCTGGTACCATCTTTTGATGGGCGTTGTGAGGGTGCTATAACCTTCCTCACACGTAACCGAACTCCCGAACTCTGTTCTGGTTAAGCAGACCCGAACCTATTCTTTTAGGGACCCTTAAGCTTAGGTGTTCCCTAAAAGGGCAGATTCCTTAGGTGGCCAATCGCACCTAGATAAAAAAGATTGGTGGCGACTCCCTGAAAATCAATGTCTAGCGATAGATCCCCGGATCTAGACGTTATGACAGCTTGGCGACTCCACTGGGGATCCTGAGAGTCAGGCCAGCAAATAATTTGTGTTATCCAAAAGCCTAATAAAATTGAACCTTTTTGTATATATGTATTATTATTCATTCATGTCTGTTAATTATGTCATTCATATGCATGTGCATAACATGAGCTCTACACCCGAGCTCCGTCCCTTTAGGAGGGAGTAAAGTACCTATTGCTTTCGTGAGGTCTAATGCCTCCGCAGTGGCTAGCGAAATACTCCCACTCAAATTGAACCTTTTCCGCTTGTAGCCTGTAATGGGTGAGGATTAGGGTGCCTTACTAGTCTGTGATGGACAAGGATGTAAGGAACAATTTGAGGACCTTTAGACTTTGACCCTAAAACCGCATATAGTGAACTTTAAGAGTGCCTAACCCATAGATAGAGCCATCACCCTTCCCTGTTAGAATTGACCAAAAGCATAGGATTCATCCTTTTTACTTTGTGTGATGTTTAATTTATTTAGTTATTTATTCTTTTTCTGGGTATACTAACCTTTTTTTTTCTTTTGCATTGGTTCATGTGCACATCATAAAGTTGCATAAAGAACATTTGCCTGAAAAACGGTCTTCAACAAATTTTTTTCATGGACACCAATGAACGCCTAGTTTGTTCTTCATCAGTATTAGCACCCTGTGGGACACCTAATGAGGTAAGGGCCTTGTCAGAAAAGACCCAACTGAAGATGGGAGATTGCTTGCCAATTGGGTATGAGTCTACTCTGTCTCAAGAAACATCTATCCTCCTCAAACAGAATAATTTAGAAGATTTGGTTGACATCTGGAAGAAGATGAGTCGTCAAGACAAGAGCAGTTTTGTCAGAAACATGGGCATATAGCACACCTTCTAGCAGTGGCTGTTGATGACCAACTAATTAGAGCTGCAACACAATTCTGGGATCCTACATACAGGTGTTTCATCTTTAATGAAGTTGATATGACTCCCACCATAGAAGAATATTCGGTCTTGTTGGGTTTGTATCTCAAGACTCCTGACAAGATATATGTCAAAAAGCATAAGTCAGGATTTCGTAAAAGTCTGGCTCAACTCATGGGGATAAACAAGGAAGTTGTGGATTCTCATACAAAGAAGAAACAGGAACAGGTCTGCCTACCTTGGAAGTTCTTTCATGAGTTTCTGATGCAACATGCCAATGAAGAACGGGGGTTGGACATATTTGCCTTGGCTATATACGGACTGGTAATCTTTCCAAAGGTTTTGGGACATATTGAGATAGAGGTAGTTGATTTCTTCGAGAGTGTGATCAATGGCTGTAATCCCTCAACGGTGATATTAGCAGAGACTATCAGATCCTTGAGTTATTGTCGTCGGAATGGAGGGCGCTTCATAGGATGCATACAGTTATTGTATGTGTGGATGAAAAGCCATTTCGAACATGGAAATGGTGCTTTCTCGAAGATTTATATCCGTAATCGCTTTCCGATCAAAGAGTTCTGTGAAAGTGGGTGGTCAAAGCAGAAGTCTAAACAAGAATGGATAACTTTCTTGCAAAAGTTGGAAGGTGCCAGAGTGAGATGGTTAGTCCCATGGATGAATCGAGAGCCTATGTTATACCAATGTGGAGATAGTACAGTGGTTCCACTTCTGGGTTTATGGGGAGTGACGAATTATGCACCGCTCTTAGTGAGGAGACAATTAGGGGGAGAACAGTTTATTCCTATGACTTATGGGCTTCATCAGTTAGATTTCTCTTATAGTGAGCCTAAAGCATTTCAGAGGATGAATGGGATGATCAAAGCATGGAAAAATCCCCAAAGAGTGAGTCCTGGACCATTCACTGAAAAAGTCACTCCAGGTTACTTGGTTTGGAGAACAAAGAGAAGACAGGAAATGGTATTCACTTATGAAGTCTCTCAACCACCGACAGAAGAAAAGCTTGAAGAGATACCATCAGAGTTAGAGCTGGCAACAAAAGAGTTTGAATTTGAAAAGATCAAGTTAAAGAAAGAGATTCAAGAACTTCAAGAAGAAAAAGCCCAGTGGAAAGGTAGAGCTGAAAATTATGAAGTTAAAGTTCATAAGATTGCTAGAGAACGTGATGCAGCTACTGAAGATCTAGCAAGGTTACACCAGGAGCATAAGAGGCTATGTGTGAGAGAAAGGGCCAAAGGGATAACCATTGTCGAGCTGACTGAGGAAAACACAAGACTGAAGCAAGAGTATGCCGAATTAGAAGAAGAAAGTACTGAAGCACAGGCAGAAATTAACATGCTAAACAGTTATTTGAGCGGGCTAAGTCAAAGGTTGGATGAACAAGGAGACCACATTGCTGCATTGGTTAGAGAACATAGAGAATTATCATACCAAGTCTGGTGTGGTAAAAGAGAGAACCTAGGGAGGCAGAAATACATTGAGCACTTAACAACCCAGATCCATAAAGGGGGTATGTAAGGCAAAAAGAGATGTGGAAGAGGCAGAAGCATTAAAGACAAGTGTGGCCCCAGTAGGAGAACATGGACAGCGTCTGTTGAACTTCATAGAAGAAGCCAAAGCCCAATATGAACAGATCAAACAATTTTTATGGCTATAATTCTAGAGGGATAAACTCAATGTAGATCAAAGTTTTTTGGAATAATGAAATTTTTTTAGTTGAAAACCGTTTTAAGGGCAAATGTTCTCTGCATACATGCATTTTTCATTTCATTGCATTCTCATTCATTACACTTTAACCATGTGATAATCATGCAAAGTTACTAATTCTGAGGTATGGTACTCAAGGTTCCAAGGATAGCTCCATCTAGCGAAAACCCTGGCCCATCGTTTCAACACAAGATCCAGAGCAAGGCAAAGGGAGCAGGAAAATTCTCATAGATCGAAAAGCTAGAAAAAGCTCAGGAGAAGATTGAAAGTGAGCTAAGCAAGATTCTGAGGCTCTAAATAACATGAACAAAGGAAAAGGAGTTGAAGGAAGTACAAGCCAGCAAGAAGTGGCTGACCCTTTGTACCCTCCAGGTTTTGGCCCGCCTCAAGCTCCGTCTGCCCAAGAGGTCCCACCACAACATTTCGCATATCCAACATATCCTGGAATGCCATCAACTTTCAACCCAGGGCAGTATAACAGTTATATAAATCCTGTCTTCACTGAAAAGGCAGTAGAACCAATTCCTGATCTAGATGATTTAAAAGAGAAGGAGAAAGAAAAGATGAGAGTGGAAGCTGAGGAGAGTTCCAAGATTAGCATGCTAGAGCAAAGGCTAAGGGCCGTGGAAGGATTTAGCTTCTATGGGTCAGTTGATGCTGCGGGGCTCTGCCTAGTTCCTGATGTGGTTATCCCCCATAAGTTCAAGGTACCAAAATTTGAAAAATATGATGGTACAAAGTGCCCCAAAACCCATATCACCATGTATTGCAGGAAGATGGCAGCTCATGCACAGGATGAGAAACTCTTGATGCATGTTTTTCAAGACAGTCTTACTGGTTCTGCGGCCAGATGGTATGTTCAACTGGACAGGACTCGCATTCGCTCTTGGAGCGATATGGCGCATGACTTTATCAGTCAATACCGACATATCATCGATTTGGCTCCAGATCGTTTGTCTTTACAGAATCTGGAGAAAAAGACAAACGAATCTTTTAAAGAGTATGCCCAGAGGTGGAGAGATATTGCTTCTCAGGTACAGCCTCCTCTGACCGAGAAAGAAACTACAGTGCTATTTGTTAGCACTTTAAAACCTCCCTATTATGAAAAGATGATAGGGAATGCAACAAAGAATTTTGCCGATATGGTAATTTCAGGAGAAATCATTGAAAGTGCCATCAAGAATGGCAAGCTAGAAGGGAATGAAGCATCTAGCAAAAGAATCCCAAAGAAAAAAGAAACTGAAGCTCAGGCTGTGAGCTTTGATAGACAGCAACTTAGGGGTTATTCGCCCTACCCCCCACCAGAATATCTGCCCTATCACCCCACTGTAAATAACACTTCTTTTCACCCATACCAACCATCATACCCCCAAACCTATCAAACCTCTCATAGACCCCAAAACACCATGTACAGTTCTAACATTCAACCCACCCCAAAACCACAAATTCGCCCAACTAACCCTGCTGGTGGCTCGCGGGAGCAACGAACCACTCGCGAAAGACCTATTTTTGACCCTATTCCCATGACCTATACGGAATTATACAAGGAGCTCTACAACAATCATTTGATTGCTCCAAGTAAATTGGAACCCCTCAAGCCACCTTACCCTAAGTGGTATGATCCCACTGCCCACTGTGACTACCATTATGGGATTGCTGGTCACTCCACCGAAAATTGCACTACCCTGAAATATAAAGTGCAACGATTGATTAAGGATGGGATGATTTGCTTTGATACTGGAGGGATGACTGCACCAAATGTTAGTGGCAATCCTTTGCCAAATCATAATGTGAATGCTATAGGTGAAGAGCATGAGCGCCATGTGAAGAAAGAAGTGGTAGATATTAAGACACCTCTCGATCAGTTGTTTGATGTCTTACGAAAAGCAGACATGATGCAACTGGTAAGTCCACACAGCTATCATGGAGCATATATAGCTGGTACTAGTTGTAAGTATCATAGTGGGGCAAGAGGCCACTCCATTGAGACCTGTAAACAATTTCACCGAGAGGTGCAAAAACTCTTGAATTCACATCAGATAGAGGTCTACGAAGAAAAAGGAAGCTTGAAGAATGCTGAGGTGTGCATGAATGATAGGCCTGAAAGCTGTTCCCAAACCAGTGACAATTCGGTGTGGAAACAAACCAAAATCAGTCATAGACAAGCTCCTCCCTAGGCCGGTAACTTTTAAAGTCCCAACTCCTTTCCCATACAAAGATGATAAAGCTGTACCCTGGAGATATGGATGTGACGCTGTAGTGCAGGGGCAAAAAGAAGAGGTCTCCAAAGCCGATGCTTCTAACATTACTGGTGTAGGAGGCATTACTCGAAGTGGGAGATGTTACACCCCAGAAATGCTAGAGAAGGCTAGAAGAGAGAAGGCTAAAGAAGGAGAAAGACGAAATAATCCAGAGATAGAGCCTGAAGAAGATCAGCCAAAGCCAGTATCAGAAAGGGAGGTTTGTGAATTCCTGAAGCTGGTAAAACATAGTGAATATTCAGTTGTGGAACAGTTGAATAAAATGCCAGCTCGAATCTCATTGTTATCACTGTTGCTGAATTCAGAGCCACATCGAAATGCCTTGCTGAAAGTGTTGAATCAGGCATACGTGGCACATAACGTGTCTGTCGAATATGTGAATCACTTGGCTGGAAACTTAGTCATGCCAAATCACATTTCATTCAGTGATGATGAGATTTCTTTGGAGGGAAAGAGAAATGCTAAGGCCTTGCATATCACAGTAAAGTGCCAGAGCCATATCATAGCTAAAGTCCTTATCGATAATGGTTCTGCCATCAATGTCATGCCTATGTCAACTTTGGCAAGGCTACCCATCGATTATTCTCATATGCGAGATAGTCAGATGATTGTGAGAGCCTTTGATGGAACCAGAAAAGAAGTCCTGGGGGATATTGAGATGCCCTTACAAATTGGGCCGTGCACCTTCAATATAACATTTCAAGTGATGGATATCTCTCCATCCTACAGCTGTCTGTTAGGAAGGCCATGGATTCACATGGCAGGAGCTGTACCCTCTACTTTGCATCAAAAGATCAAATTCAATGTGAAGGTCAATTAGTAGTGGTAGTTGGGGAGGAAGACATGCTAGTGACCCAACCATTGAACACTCCATATGTAGAGGCTACCGAAGAAGCATTGGAGTGCTCCTATCGATCTTTTGAATTGGTCAATACTGTAGGTGAAGGATTTCAAAGTCAGCCTTTTTCAAAGATAGTGGTGAGCCAAGTCATCAACAAAGGCTGGTGTCCAGGACTTGGGCTAGGCAAAAATTTGCAGGGAATTAAAGAACCTCCGACAATAGCAGACAATAGCGACAGGGCAGGCTTAGGATATGAGATGGCAGAGTGGGAAGTCAAAAGAAGGCCATCAAGAAAGACAGCAAGACTGATGTTTATCCCACACTTGTACGAAACCTTCAGACCTGGAGGATTTATGAACCCAGGTGCAAAGAAAAGTGTGGAAGAGGACTTTGCCCAGTTAGCCATTAATGCTGTTGAAGATGAAGTGGAGTTCAACAAAGAAGAATGGGTTCGCCTTTGTCCACAAGACTATGAGCTGAACAATTGGAGTGCCATTGAAATGCCTCTAACTTTTGATTTTGATAAAAATGTAATTGTGACATCTCAATAGCTTTGGCCCAAGGCTATGGGGTGATCTTTTTTTTGTTTGGGCCATTCATCATTTATTATTTTTAATAAAAAATAGGAAGGATGCATTTTCATTCATTTCTTCTTGTGTCTTCATTTTTTTTCATCTCTCCAAGCACATCTTGCCAACATATCCCCATTTCATTCAATTGCAGGTCTTTAAATGAACATGAAGATAATCATGATAACAATCAAGGGGTTAGCTTTGAGAATTCAATCAATACTGATGAACTTGATAATGAAGAGAATTCTGAAGAATATGTTATGCCTCCGGACCTAATGAGGATGATTGAACAAGAGAATAAGCCAATTGAGCCTCATCAGGAGGTAGTGGACTTAGTGAATCTAGGAGATGAAGAGAATAAAAAAGAGGTCAGAATGGGTACTTCACTTACATCTGAAGATAGGCAACGGTTGGCAGATCTACTTTGTGAATTTGTAGATATATTCGCTTGGTCTTACCAGGATATGCCAGGACTGAGCACAGGGATAGTGGAGCACAGATTGCCCCTAAAGCCAGAATGTAAGCCAGTTCAGCAAAAACTGAGACGGATGAAGCCCGAAATGCTGCTAAAGATTAAAGAGGAGGTGAAGAAACAATTCGATGCAGGTTTTCTACAAGTGGCCAAGTATCCAGAATGGGTAGCCAATATAGTCCCAGTTCCTAAGAAAGATGGAAAAGTACGAATGTGTGTAGACTATCGGGATTTGAATAAGGCTAGCCCAAAGGATAACTTTCCTTTGCCTCATATCGACACGCTGGTAGATAACACAGCTAAGCATTCGATTTTCTCTTTTATGGATGGTTTCTCGGGGTACAATCAGATAAAAATGGCTGCAGATGATATGGAAAAGACTACTTTTGTGACCATGTGGGGAACTTTCTGCTACAAAGTCATGCCTTTTGGGTTAAAGAATGCTGGGGCAACATATCAAAGGGCCATGGTAACACTCTTCCATGACATGATGCATAAAGAGATAGAGGTGTATGTAGATGATATGATTGCAAAGTCTTGTGAGGGTGAAGATCATGTTACTAGCCTCAGAAAGTTATTTGAGAGGTTAAGGAAATTTCAGCTCAAATTAAACCCAGCCAAGTGCACCTTTGGGGTAAGGTCAGGAAAGTTGCTAGGCTTTGTGGTCAGTGAAAGAGGAATTGAAGTTGATCCCGATAAGATACAGGCCATCCAAAATTTGTCACCTCCCAGCACGCCAAGAGAAGTTCGAGGTTTTCTGGGGAGATTGAACTACATCTCTCGGTTTATCTCTCAGCTTACTTACAAATGTGATCCCATATTTAAGCTTCTCCGTAAGAATAATCCTGGGAAATGGAACGAAGAATGTCAAGAGGCATTTGATAAAATTAAGCAGTATTTATCGAACCCTCCAATATTGGTGCCACCTGTTCCAGGAAGACCTTTAATTCTGTACCTAACTGTAAATGAAAATTCAATGGGATGTGTGCTGGGGCAGCAAGATGAAGCTAGCCGAAAGGAGAGAGCTACTTACTATCTGAGTAAAAAGTTCACGGAATATGAATCCAAGTATTCTTCATTGGAGAAAATGTGTTGTGCATTAGCGTGGACTGCCAAAAGACTCAGACAGTATATGCTTTATCACACTACGTGGCTCATAGCAAAATTGGATCCAATTAAGTATATCTTCGAGAAGCCTTCTTTGTCAGGAAGAATCGCTAGATGGCAAGTAATGCTCTCAGAATATGACATTATATATGTGAGCCAAAAAGCAATAAAAGGAGGCGCTATAGCAGAATTTCTTGCAGATCGTGCTACTGAAGAGTATGAGCCGATGAAGCTGGAATTCCCTGACGAAGACTTAATGACTATTTCCCGACTGGAGGAAAGGGAGCATATGGAAAGATGTTGGAGAATGTACTTTGATGGAGCTGCTAACGCCTTGGGGCATGGAATTGGGGCAATTTTGATTTCTCCAGAAGAACAATACTATCCTGTAACAGCGAGGTTAAATTTTAATTGCACAAATAACATCGCTGAGTATGAGGCATGTGTCATGGGCCTGCAAGCTGCTATAGAAAGAAGAGTGAAAGTACTGAAAGTATTTGGAGACTCAGCTCTAGTCATATACCAGTTGAAAGGAGAATGGGAGACGAGAGATTCAAAACTCGTTCCGTATCATAAGTATATTCTAGAGCTGACAAAACAATTTGAAGATGTCCAGTTCGATCACTTACCCCGGGAAGAGAATGTGATTGCTGATGCATTGGCTACTCTGGCCGCGATGATTCGAATTAATCATAATACGGACATTCAGCCCATCAAGTTAGATGTTAAGGATATACCAGCGTATTGTTCTAATGTAGAGGGGGAAAGAGATGGAAAACCCTGGTATTATGACATCTTACAGTATGTCAAGGATCAGCAGTATCCAGTTCATGCAACAGAAAATGATAAAAGGGTCATCCGAAGATTGGCTATGAGCTTTTTCCTGGATGGGGATGTCCTGTACAAAAGAAGTAAAGATAAAGTATTATTGAGGTGTGTAGATGAGACTGAAGCGAAGAAAATCATTAAAGAGGTGCATGAGGGAATATGTGGGGCACATGCTAGTGGACATATGATGGCAAGACAGATCATGAGAGCGGGATATTACTGGTTGACGATGGAGAATGATTGCATCGACTATGCTCGTAAATGTCATAAATGCCAGATATATGCTGATAAGATCCTTGCTCCACCATCTGCTTTACATGTTATGGCACCATCATGGCCATTTTCAATGTGGGGCATGGATGTCATTGGTCCAATCACTCCAAAAGCTTCTAACCGGCACAGATTCATTTTTGTGATGATAGATTACTTCACAAAGTGGGTGGAAGCAGCATCATATGCAAATGTGACACGCTCCGTGGTTTGCAAGTTCATAAAGAAAGAGATCATTTGTAGATATGGACTTCCGGAGAGAATTATTTCAGACAATGCCAAGAATCTAAATAGTAAGATGATGCAAGAAATATGTGCTCAATACAAGATCAAGCATCATAACTCGGCACCTTATCGTCCGAAAATGAATGGAGCAGTTGAGGCAGCCAATAAGAACATAAAGAGGATTCTGGAGAAGATGACCGAGACTTACAAAGATTGGCATGAGAAGTTGCCATTTGCCTTGCTTGCATATCGAACGTCAGTTCGCACCTCTACTGGGGCAACCCCATTTTCTTTGGTTTATGGGATGGAAGCTGTACTACCAGTGGAAGTAGAGATCCCCTCTTTGAGAGTCTTAAAAGAAGTTGAGTTGGAAGAGGCTGAATGGATTCGAGAACGTTATGAGCAGTTAAATTTCATAGAAGAAAAGAGATTGACTGCACTGTGCCATGGTCAGTTATACCAAAGAAGAATGATGAGGGCTCATGATAAGAAGACTCGGCCTCGTTGCTTTCGAGAAGGAGAGTTGGTTTTGAAAAGAATTCTCCCAATCCAGCACGATAGTAGAGGAAAATGGACTCCGAATTGGGAAGGGCCGTATGTGGTGAAACGGGCTTTTTCGGGTGGAGCATTGATACTGACTGAGATGGATGGAAACGATTTACCCCATCCTGTAAATTCTGATGCTGTGAAGAAATACTATGCTTGAAAAAAATACAAAAAAATAAAAAAATAAAAAAAATGAAAAAATGGAAAAAATGAAAAATGATGAAAAATGAAAAAAAATGGAAAAAATGGAAAAAAGAAAAAGTGAATGAAAAAGGAGGACTCAAGGCGAAAACCCAAAAAGGGCGGTTTGAGTCATAGGGGGTTGTCTAAGTTGAAAACCTGAAAAGGCAGCTTAGATAAGGAGGATACGGCATCGAATTTAAAAGTCTGCTGATATAGGGGCTAGCAAGTTCGGAAGAGTTCCAAGTTGTTAAATACATCAGAGGGTTGAGTTTTCATAAAAGACTTTGAGATGTGTTATCATGATTATCTGATTGTTCATTTTGGGCTTTGTCCCCATACCTATCCTTGTAATTCTTTCTTGACCAAAGTTTGCCAACATTTTGCTAATAAGAGACATTCTATTCCATTCTTTGTGTCTTTTTCTTATGACTGTTTCTCAACATTCAGATTCTTTTCTTCTTAATACCCCACCATTGAAGAAATGTGCAAATGCATTCTTACTTTTTGAATTTGAAATAATGATTGATGAATGAATAACCACAGGAAAGATTTTTACATTACATTGAATGAGTCAAGAGTGAGAAAGGCAGAATCGACATGTTCAGTTCCTAATTAGGAAATTGAATCTAGGAAGAGATTTCTTACAAGAAGAATGTGAGTGGAAGAGACAATTGAGAGCTACACTGGTTCGATCTTAGAAGAGCAGTGCAATTGGATCCTTGAGGAATCAAAGGGCTTGACACCCAAGAAAAAAAGAGCTTGAGAAACTTGAGTACCATACATTGAACAGGAATTAATTGACCAACATTTGCATAGCATGCATTGAAATTTATATGCATTTGCATAGCATACACTACTTTCAAGAAAGTATAGTGTACAAATTCAAGAAGCAGGGGTGTTCCAACATCCCACATGAAAAAGACAGATATGAAAAGACTTTGCAAGTTTGAGAAGAAACTTGTCAGGTAAGTTCCTAATCCTTGAAATAGGATGTCTCTTGGTATCGGGGTTGATTTATAAGACCTTTGGGCATAATCTCCTGAAATCCCTTCAAACACAACTTTCAACTCCTTCGGACATGATCGTCTAGGAGAATTTACTTTTCAAAGTTCGTTGCCTCTGTTTAGAGGAGCAATTTATTTTTCAAGTTCCGTTGCCTCTGTTTAGAGGAGCAATTTACTTTTCAAAAGTCGTGGTGCCTCTGTTTAGAGGAGCAATTTATTTTTCCAAAGTTCCGTTGCCTCTGTTTAGAGGAGCAATTTACTTTTCAAAGTCGTGGTGCCTCTGTTTAGAGGAGCAATTATTTTTCCAAAGTCGTGGTGCCTCTGTTTAGAGGAGCAATTTATTTTTCCAAAGTCGTGGTGCCTCTGTTTAGAGGAGCAATTTACTTTTCAAAGTTCGTTGCCTCTGTTTAGAGGAGCAATTTATTTTTCAAAGTTCCGTTGCCTCTGTTTAGAGGAGCAATTTACTTTTCAAAAGTCGTGGTGCCTCTGTTTAGAGGAGCAATTTATTTTTCAAAGTTCCGTTGCCTCTGTTTAGAGGAGCAATTTATTTTTCCAAAGTCGTGTTGCCTCTGTTTAGAGGAGCAATTTACTTTCCAAAGTCCGTTGCCTCTGTTTAGAGGAGCAATTTACTTTCAAAAGTCGTTGAGTCTCTGTTTAGAGGAGCTTCGGCCAAAAAAAAAACAAAAAAAAAACAAAAAAACAAAAAACAAAAAACAAAAAAACAAAAACAAAAAAATCAAAAAAAATAAAAAAAATAAAAACAAAAAAAAAAAAATCAAAAATAAAAATGTTGAGTTGAGTCTTGATTGGGTGTCTACGTCTTTGCGCAATTTCTGTTTCACAGAAAATGTGCAAAGAGGGGCAGCTGTAGACACCCAATCAGGTCCGGGCCCGGATCAATTGGGCCTGACCCGGATCAATTGGGCCTGACCCAGATCATTTGGGCCTGGCCCAAATGGGTAAGGCCCAATTCAATCATGTATTATTATTATTTTTTTTTTTCCTTTTTTTTTTTTCTTTTCTTTTGTATTTTTATATTTATTATTATTAATATATGTATATCTGTATTTATTTATTTAGATTAGATTTATATGTATATTATTTATATAGTTATATATTTATTATTATTATTATTATTATTATTATTTTTGTAAGATATTTTTGGGTTTATCTTATTTTATTATTATTTTTTTAAATTATCTGTTCTGATTTTTTCTGATTATCAGATATTTTTTTTTTTTTTATAATATCTTTTTATTTATCTGTTCTAATTATCTATTATTTTTTTATATTTATTTGATTTTTTTGGAAGGTTGAGATTGAAGCTGAAGAATCCTACTGGGAGTGGGGATTCAATCTAAAGAGTCCAATTGGATTCAAAGACTGAATCCCCGTCCAAGGAGGAGTTGGGATTGATCAGAAACTCCTGATCAATCCCTATATAAAGCACCTCCTGGAACAGTTCAAGAACACAGAAAAAAACAGTGAGCAAAGCTACTGAATTTGAGAGAAAAAAAGTGTTTAAAAGAGTTTTCGAAGGCTAAAGAAGGTCGAGAAGTGTTAGGATAGCTGTAGGGATCTGAAAAAATTTTTTAGAAATTTTTTTGCGAAAATTTTTTCTGGAAATTTCTGGGAAATTTCCAGATTCCGGCGAAAATTCCGGCGACATTTGAATTTTCCGGCACAAATTCCGGCGAAACTTGAAGATTCCGGTGACCAACCCAGTTTCCGGCGAGATTCCCAGAAACCGGCGAAGATTCCGGCCATATTCCGGCAAAAATTCCAGATTCCGGCGACATTTCCAGAATCCGGCACCGGTGTTCTTCGGTTTTCTAGAGAGAAGGGAGAGAAAAGGGAAGGAAGAGAGAGAGAGGGGAGGAGCGTTCTGCCGAAAAACAGAGGAGAGTGCCTTAAATACCCTCCAAAAACGACGTCGTTTTGGCCTTAAGTAACCAGAGGATCCGCGCGTTTTGCCGTGACCCGACCCGACCCGAGCGTCGACCCGCTTCTGACCCGCGCGTGCCAGCCTCCCTCCGAGCCAAGCCGAGCCGAGCCGAGCTTCCAAGCCGCTCCTCCGAGCCGTTTTTTTTCTTCCTTGAGCCGAGCCGAGCCGAGCCGATAGCCGAGCCGCTCCAGGTTTTTTTTTTTTTTTTTTTTTTTTTTTTTTTTTTTTGACTTTGATTTTGATCTTGATTTTTTTTTCTTTTTCTTTAATTAATCCGACGACGGAGCCTCTACAAGTAAAAACAGTAGTTTTTCTTGCATACTCCTGAGGTGAGGGAATTTTCTCAATTTTCTGCTAAAAGTATTAGAGTCAATTGAGAATAATTTCTGATAATTAATTACTTGGCTGATTTTGATTTTTTTTTCTTTAATTAATCCGACGACGGAGCCTCTGCAAGTGAAACAGTAGTTTTTCTTGCATACTCCTGAGGTGAGGGAATTTTCTCAATTTTCTGCTAAAAGTATTAGAGTCAATTGAGAATAATTTTCGATAATTAATTAATTGGTTGATCTTGATTTTTCTTTAAATAATCCGACGACGGAGCCTCTGCAAGTGAAACAGTAGTTTTTCTTGCATACTCTTGAGGTGAGAGAATTTTCTCAATTTTCTGCTAAAAGTATTAGAGTCAATTGAGAATAATTTTCAACAACTAACTACTTGGTAAAATTTTAAGGCTTTTGGATAACACAAATTCAAGCTGGTACCATCTTTTGATGGGCGTTGTGAGGGTGCTATAACCTTCCTCACACGTAACCGAACTCCCGAACTCTGTTCTGGTTAAGCAGACCCGAACCTATTCTTTTAGGGACCCTTAAGCTTAGGTGTTCCCTAAAAGGGCAGATTCCTTAGGTGGCCAATCGCACCTAGATAAAAAAGATTGGTGGCGACTCCCTGAAAATCAATGTCTAGCGATAGATCCCCGGATCTAGACGTTACGACAATTGTTCTCATCATTCAATCATAACTTGCAAGTCATATCGACCAGTTCATTTTTATACTCATCACTTGGTTATATCACTTTTCAAGATTTGTCCCATTATATTCTCCATTTGGTCACATCATATATCCTTCCAAATCATCTCTTTTAGGTTTCTACCATTTCTTCATTTTGCTACCACCATCATCTTAGATTTCAAATGAATACAAGACTCTTTTAAGCACATATTCATTCATTCATTATCATTTCAATTCTTGACAAATACAATGCAATCAAGCATTTTCTCAATTCATTCTAGGGGTGAAACAATAAGAGAACACAAGGTGAATTATGGTAAAGATAATCAATGAAGATCTGTTTTGGTACAAAGCAAATGGAAAAGGAAATGAATTCAATACATGTCATTGGGATGAATGGTTTGTCCAAATGATGAATATTCAGACAATTTTCAACATTAATCTAGGATTCTTTTTCAAAAACTCATTTATTGTTGAAGTCATCTTGAGCTTGGCGAACTTTGCCCTAGTCTTTGAGGGATCTTCAGATGTCTTTGGTCTTCTATTCATGTGAACCATTTGACCTGGATCTTTTTCTATCAAAATCAACCTTTCAGGTTTTCAATTTGAATCTCTTTTTTTTATTTTCTCATTTTTTTCTTCTTTCTTTCTTTTTTTTTATTTTTTTTCCATCATCTTTTTTTTTCTTTTTTTTCATTTTTCATCCATTGTTGATATCTTTCATACATCAAACTTTAGAGCAATGTAGCATGATTCCATTGCTTCATCATGAGCATACCTTCGCTCAACATATGATCATTCAAGTTGAGTATTCACACTTGATCCAAATGGACTTTTCAAAGTTGTAATGTAGGCCAAGGTGAAGGGTCATAAAAAAAATGGACATAATAGGCTCAAAACATGTATTAAAAAGGTTCAAGACCAAAGGATCATTTGATACAACTTGGCATTTTACCCCACATCGTTTCACTATTTTTTTCCTTCTTCACACAAAAGATTCTCATTATTTTACCT